CTTCAGCAACGTCTGTTGATAAACACGCCCTGAAAGAGGGGGGTGGAGTGGTGAGGGGAAGAAACTTCCCCCCCCCCCCCCCCCCCCACACACAGACCGTGACCGACAGGGACAAAGGTCACCGAGTGCAAATCAGGGCGTCACAGGCCGTGATCGACAGGCAAGGGCAGCACAGACCGTGACCGACAGGGGTCAAAGGTCGCTATGGAGTCTCACGGACCGTGACTGACAGAACCCCAAAGACCATCACAGATGGTGACCGACAGAGTTGCAAAGGCCGTCGCAGACAGTAGCTGATGCAGCATTATACAGCGCAATAGAGATAGACTCCATAGCTATTTCATATACTGACACATTGGTGAACTAATCTCTGTTCTTCAATCTCAACAGATCTATCGTGTTTCACATTTTAATCCCGCAGGGATTGCGCTAACACCTTTTTTTCTAAGGCACGACTTTAGAGCATACCATTATGGCATGATAGTATCACAAGGTTCAGTTGTCTGATGCTTATTTCTATGAAGACGAATCTAAAAAAGCATGCATTACGATTGATTGTGTCAGTTTTATACACTAATAAAGTTCATGACGCATATATGCGTCGGCGGCAGTGGTAAACGGGTTAATCCTTTTAGTCCTTTTAGGCTCTTTAGTTCTTTTAGTGCCTCCAAACCGACAGGACTAAAGGAACTAAAGGTACTAAAAAGTCTAAAAGGACTAAAGGCACTACAGGAACTAAAATGACTAAAGGACCTAAAAGGATTAAAGGGACTAAAAGGTTTAAAAGGACTAAAGGAACTAAAAGCATCAAAGGATTTAAGGGGACTCCCCCATTTCCGAGGTTTCTGACGAACGGTTGGGTGAAAATTTTTAAAACTCTCAAGGTAGATAGACCTTGATGAGTAGAGCAAAAGTTGTCATAGACATAAAATTCTCAGATGCCTCCTTCTACAGATTTTTGGGAATCCAAGACCCAAAAATGACCAAAAGTTTTCCCCTCGCAAAACTCGAGACTTCATTATTTTGAGCTGAAAATTTTTGTGTGGCAACTAGGGCCCAATCGGGATGCGTGTTTTTTTTGTTTTGAAAAATATCCATTCCATACTTCAGGAGAAGCAAAATACTGAAGACCTTGTCAAAACTCTTGGATTTTGCGATGTTACGAATTTTGTAAAACCTGCCAAATTTCATAGCAACAAAATTTCAAAGATTGAAAAGCGGCACGCACTCCAATTTGGTCGAAGTAATTATAGATAAATTTTCAGCCCGATCGGCCTAACCGTTCCGTAGAAAAAGGGGAAAACTTGTTTTTCACGCCCAAAACCGGATTTTGAGAAATATGCAAAATTATGAAAAAATTTCTTTTTTCGTTTTTTGACTTATAATTTTTTTTCATGTTGAAACATTGTAGGTACTGCCTCGTCGCGCATACAAAGAACTATTTTTGAGAAATATTCGGCTAATCGAATAAAAAAAAAATGAGATTTTACTCGAAACACGTATACTTTTTTCGAGATACATTTTTCGAAATTTCGCTTTTTCAGAAACTTCCCGGCTTGTGATAGTTATTAGTTTTATAGTATGGCTAGGGCACATCTAGATACACATTTAAAAACGAAAATAAAAAAAAAATAGCTCCCCCTAGTCGAACTTCTTTTGGTATGAACATGAAAAACATGAATATCTTGAGCAAGAATGTCATGCGCTATGGACACATCTTGAGGCAAGACTTTAGGGCTTGTGGAAAACTCAAGTGCTTGAGATTCTTATTCACTTGCTTGAGATTCTTATTCATGCGCTTGATTCTTGTTCAAGCGCATGCTATTTACTTGGATAATGCAGATATTCATTTTTTCTAACTTTTTATCCATATTTTCGATATATATCTCACGAGATATTCATTTTTTAGCGTACATAATGTATGAGATGTGTGAATGAAAAGAGCACTTTTATGATTGGTTCATATTTCGATAAATGTTGAAATAATAGTAGTAGTAGAAAAAAGTTCTTTGTTCGGAAACAAATTAAAATGGAAAATATAGAATATCATAATGATAAAAAATCTTGATCTATCGTTGAACTTTACTTGTGAGTTGAAAACTTTTTTTTATTATAGATGGCTGAAAGAATCTCACAGAGACAATTACACTCGAAATGTAAACGAAAATAGAGTTCTGTTAAGCGAACGAACCAGATCAGCAATGTCTTGAAATCAACATTCGTTAGATATTCGATTTTCTTTTATTTTAATTTTTTTTTCTGTATTTATTATAGACTGATATATAAAGCACCACAAGTACTGAAGATGAAGAAGATGGTTCACGTGATCGTCAACAACTAGTAGTGAACCTGTTCTTGAATGATTATTTACCAACACATTCTGGAACTGAAATTCTCGAAAATAAATCCCATGACAATTTTAGTGATGATCAAGCTAATGAATATGAAATTTATGTTGAAGATTTTATTGATCAAATGGATGCAAATAATAATAATCGAACAATTTCACTTTATTCTGGTAGTCCAATATCTGTTCATGATGCATGTGTACGATTAGTGAAATTAACACGTTTATTACATCTCGACAAAAGTAATACATTGATTTTACTAAACCAACTTCGATATTTTTTCTCAAGTGATTGACGTTTATCTAAAACAGTATTTAAACTTTTTAAGATGACAAACAATAGCCATATTCCACAGGTTTGCCCAAAATTAATTTCATTGTTCCTAGTGTATACATTATTTTTTTTAGTTGTCAATCCGCTGCATAGAATGTGGTGAAGTTTTAACAACATCAAATGAAGAAAAATGTTCAGTTACTTGTGTTCTTAATGGACAACACCGGTTCTACATTGATGTTGCTGAATTAACAATTATGAATATTGAATATGAAATAAAACGTGTAGCTGAACGCTATATTAATCTTATTAATTAATATCCAAAACAAGCAAAACAATTCGTTCCTTGTGATATTATAAATGGTACGACCGTGAATTATGAAATTATAAATTGTTTCCTTTTTTTAAGATAAATTTATCGAGAATTACCTAGTCATGAAGATCATCGTAATATAACAATAATAGTACACGGTGATAGTGCGCCAGATGTTAGCTTCAGCAGTAAGTAACATTGAGCTTCTATTTAAAATGTCACTTGCTGCTTCGTAAGTGTAGAACAAATTTTCTAATACGTTTCGAAACTGCATTCATTTGGTTTCTAGATGAAATTATTTAAGACAGAATACAAATAAGCTGGAAAATATTTGTATCTTTATATGAGTATGTTTGTAGTCGCGATCAAAATCAAATGAATCTACTGTTGTTGAAATTTCTAATATTCAAAAAGAATTTTCGTTATTCAAATACAATGTTGAAAACGACTTAAATCACTTGAAAAAACATCGAATTTTGAAAAACAGAAATATTTTGAAAGAAGTGAGTCAGCTTTAATTTCAATAATTTAAGTATGTTCATTTATATTTAGGGAAATGATCTGATAAATATTAGCGATTCGATGCTTCAACCAACACAATCAAATCTAGAAGTAAGAAAAAGATTAATTAATGAACAATCGTCATTAACTTTTTTTAGTTTTTTCTTGGTGTTGATGTTAGCAAGTTTAATTATGCTTTTGATGAACATACAAAATCCGTACGTCAAATCTTTCGTCAAGCTGGTTATGTTTCAAATCCAAATCATGTTTTACAAGACAAAAATATAGCTCTGAGTATCCAAAGTAAGCATCGAGGATATGTGAATAATATTTTAATGAATGTTTATCTTTTATAGATGCAATGAAAAAGCGTGATCAACGATTACAACAAGATGAAGAATACTTTAAACATATGTGGCAACTTGTAAAATAATCAGTTAGGCAGCTCAAGCACGATCACAAACGAAACCTTACATTTCAAGCATTATGTGCACAAATCGTTAATATAAATCCATCTCAATCTCAAACTGCCGATATTCAATCAGGTGAAAATAATATTTCAAATAATTAATTATGGACTATATCTTATTGATTTATTTTTATTTAACCATACGTTGAAAATTATTGATTTTTTTAATAAAAGTTTGCAGTAAAACACACATTTCATTTTACTAATCATGCTGAGAATATTGCTTCATGATTTTCGTGCATCCGACGCATTATTTATGTTGAATTTATACATAACTCATGCAAGCATCCAAGTGCTTGTCTATGGAAAGAAAGTCATGCGCTACGGACACATCTTGAAGTCTGTGCAGGTCAAGAATGGGAAAAAAAAGTTCGTCGAGGGTCGGGAAAGGATCCTCTTAAAGACAGTAACAGAGCTAAAATATCAAATATTCTATGTGGAAAAGTAAAATTCTATATAGAAAAGTAAAACAGGATAAGTTTTATTTTTCGTGGACCTATGTCGGTTATTAAAACTGATGCCACTATGACTTAGCTCGTTCTGGTTTATTTTCATTGATACGAAAGGAGAAAGATGAAAATACAGGGGAAAAAATATTTTAGAGATTGGTAAATAATGTCGCAAGAGTGTATATTAGTTGATAAATTAACGTGATTCAACTAATTTCAACAGTTGACCAAGAGTTGTTTCACTTTTACAAGATTTCTTTTTCGCACATGTTTCAATTAGACGCACATAATAGTCGAGAAATTCTTTGGCTTTCTCATCACTTTCCATTTCATGTGCAAGTGAAAAATCCAATTGACCATCACCAGCACAAGTCACAAACATAGTTGTTGAAACACGATAGACACTGGCATTGTTAATTACATGTAAACCTCGTAATCGTAATTTACCCTGATTGTACTCACATGGAAACGAATATTTGCCAATATTTGAAAAGGCCAATTCAGCTTGGCGTCCTTCCGGAAAGAGTCGAGTAAATCGATCGAAATCACTTTCACGTTCAAATATATCATTGAGAACATTCATTGTGAAAGAAATGCTACGTAGCTTCAATTGATTTCGAGTATTTATCATACATTGATGTGCCAATGACCAAAATCGAGTCGATTGAATCGACAATGATTGACTCAGTCTGGCTCCGCTTCCAGTAACAAAGTAACCAATTGACGATGTTGTAAGAGGGGATTGAGGCAGACGCGAACGCATATCAAAAGTCACACCAATGTCAAACGGCTTCAGTCGAGTATTATCGCCGAGTGGAAAACAATGATGAACAGCTAATAAGAGACAACCGAAGAGTGGACCATTTAATGTCACTTCTTGCAAACGACATTGTTCATATAAATTTGAATAAAGATCGAAGGAACTTGAAGCAAATAAAAATTTGATTTTGTACCGTTGAACATGAAATTTTGATGGTTTACAATCGAGATGAGGGATCACTTTCACAGGAATGCGTAACTGCACTTGTTGATGTAATTGACGCTTGAAAAGTTGCTTAACAATGAATGACTTGAATGGATAGAAGAGACTATTTGGATGTGGAATCATTTGATCAATCAATGGAAGAATTTCGTTATTTAGTGGCTCCGATATCGTAAGTAGATTCGAATCAGTGGCCAAAGACAAAAAGTCATTGATAAGAATAAATCCACTTCGACCATCGAAGACACAATGATTTGTGAAGAGAATCAAATGAACAAGATCATCATCAGATTGTTTTGAATTGCATATAACCATGAAATGAAAGAGTGGAAAGATAATCGTCCCGTTATTCGAATAGGGATCTTGATTACATCGATTTTCGACGATTTCTTGCCAAGAATCACTGGTTGTTTCAACAGTTGAGAAGAATAAATTACTTGATAAGTATTTAATATCATATTCGAAAAAGTCGATTAGATATCGATTGGTATCTATTCGAAGACGTGTGCGCATGCGAGAATAACGTTTCAGTAGACATTGGATGACAGTTGAAGCATTCGTTATCAGACTCGAAGGATTCCCGGACAGATGAGCAGCATGTGCAATAGTCACCCAGCCACCATGTGCACAGAGAAACTTTTCAGCACCGTTTAGCGTCAAAGTTGAGACTACTTTGAAAGACATTCCGTATTGTTGTGCTTTGAATTAACTATTTTCTTATGCAATCAATTGAAAAAAGGAAGTGAGAATATTATATGATCCCTCTTATCTTCTTGCCATTGCACACTAGACAGTAATAAAGAATCAAGTGTTTGTATGGCACTGAAAAGACAAAAAAACAATTATCATCGATAGATAACTGTTTGAAGGAAGTAAAACAACATTCATGTAAAATCACAATCAAATCATCGTTGCTTATGTTCGATTTCCAACTTCTATTTCAAATGAGTAATAGTTCTAACACGTATTCTCTTCTTCCGTTTTTACGAGTTCCTCTTATGTTTTGATCATAACGCACAGTGTATTGACTCATTTCATAAAGATAAGGTCGATTTTATTCCCATATAGATCACATAACGTCATAAAATGCCATCATATGTGTAATAATTTGACTAATGCGGAAGTGAGACATAGCAGCATAGTATAAAAGATCTTGCGAAACATATACAACGCTATTCATTTGTTGATGTGCTTATATGCAACGACTGTATTGTTTTCATATGAGGACCTACCAGGATTTACTTTTTGAATTTTATTTTCCCAGAGGAATTATTTATTTGTTAAGGATTTATTAACTGTATCAAGATTTTATCGCACCCTCAGTCGAGCCCCTGCCCCCCATCTTTGCTCTCACCCTCACTCGAGCTGGCGCCCTTATCCGCACTTTGGACGATCTGTGGGATTTATTTCAAAATGTACATGGATTTTTAATAAATCCAGATAAACCCAAAAAATGAGTCCTGGTAGCTGCTGTTTCATATAAGTATATCAAAGCCTAGAAGAAGTATTCAAGAGAATAGCAAGCAGTTAAACATCTTTGTAACAGAGTTCACCGTCTCATGCCCAGGACGAGAAGTTATCATGACTCGACAACAGTTACGTTACCAGGTAACTAGTAAGGGAAAAGGTACTATATCACACGGCGAACAATCCAACAGTGGATCCCGTTGGATACTGCTGAAATCCTGGTTGCGGACCTACTAACGGATCCCTAGTGTTGGAATCAGATCGAAATCCGATAGGATTCTACAGAGAACTCGTCGGAATCCGACTGTTGGATTTGGTCGGATGTTAGCTGGATTCCAGCATTAGGGATCCGTTAGCGGATCCGCAACCCTGATTCCGATCGGACTTTGTCGGTTGATCGGATCATATCACATCCGATCGAATTCGTTGTCAGATTGATTCACCTGGAATATTGGTGAGTTTACCCGGGCCAAAAAAGCAGACGATAAGATCTTATACGATCCGACTGCTGATCTTGTATGATCTTGTAAGTGCTGACGAAAATCGTACGCAAAAACGTTGTTCATGCAGTCTTATACTAAGTCGGACTAAAAAATCCATCACAGGCCCTGC